GTCTTTCATCATCATGGATTACTTTATATCATCATTTCAAATTGAGATCCATGCTTCATGGGAAGTTTTTGATAGGCCTTATTCAAGCTATTGGACACATGACTTGCCATGTCTACGACCTTCTATCTCCAAATAAATGGACAATTGGAATATATAAATTAGGCCTTAGAGGATATACTACGAGTATTTGTGGCAATTCATCATAATGATTGGGATGAATATTTGACACCCTTGGGGTTTGTTATAATGATAATATTCAAGTAAGTACCAGTCATTCACTATTCTTCCTTAATACCAATCAACGTCCAATTATGCCAACAACTTTTTATTGTTTCATTGACATCAACAATTTGATAATGGAATTTATACAACAACTTATAATGGCCTTCCAGGAGGTACTACATTGCCTCTATACTACACAAAATTAACAAAAGCAATATATGCATAACTACTAGTAATACGAGACCTTCTAGGAGGATGATTAGGTGTTACTCTCCAATACCAACTTGCCACTTGCTACATCAACTCAAATCCATAAATTGATACCTTTATTGCTTAGATCTTTTCATATTTTTGTAGTGATTTTTGATGTCGCATACCACCTCAAGCTTTTGTCACATATTTGGGTCCATTCAATCTTTTATGTTTTGCAATTCAAGAAATTTTATACTAAGTCAAGTGACTTTTCAATTCCAAGAAGTACCACTACCAGCTATAGTTGATGACTAACAAGAGTATGAAGTAGATAATATTTTGGAACATCGCTACCTTTGCTATGGCAATGGACGTCCACAACTTTAGTATAAAGTCCTTTGAAAAGATTATTTCATCTACGATGCAATGTGGGAACTTATATAAAACCTCACTAATTGCGAAGAAATAATTTGGAGATACCATTGGAAGTGAAATAAGGACGTCATCTATTAATGGAGGAAAATTAACTATAACAAGGTAAAAATAAGATATTCGTATTGTTGATGCATAGAGGTAGATAATTGGAGCCATATTTGAGAAGTTTATAGAAGTTTCTAGAATTGGAGCTAGGTTAGTGGACTATGTAGGATCCATCATGGAACATTCTAGAAGGGCTTAGAGTAGTTATCTAGGTGGAATCCAATATTGAATATTCTAAAAAGAGCTTAAGGTGATTATCTAAGTGGAGTCCATCATTAAGAATATTTTAAAAAGTTCTAAGATGGTTGAATAAAAGTATAAATAAGACTAGTCATGGCCATTTGGCATATCTAGTCAGATATAGTTTTGGACCTTTTTTCTTAATAAAGTTTGATTTTACATCTTTTTATTGAGTTTTGTTCTATTTTCTCTTATTGTAGTCTACTTTGTCTTATATTGTGATGGAATTTATATTGTTGTAAATTAGAAGAATCCTAGATTTTTTAAGATAGTCTACTCTCATTTCATTTAGATTTTGGATTACAATTTATGTACAAAGTTTAGAGGATTTGGAGTTAGGGTGATGAAATTATAGCGGTTTGAAATTAAGATGTCTTTTTAAGACATATTTTTGTTCTTTTGAAGGTACAAGGAATTGTACAATAGCTTTTAGAAATCAAGAAGTGCAGCTGCAAGGATAATTTTAAGATCTACATCTTTTACACAAGAATTTATGTACTTGAAGTTTGTATGAAGGAATTATAGAGTGTTGAAGACAACACATGTAATTCAAAGGCAATAAGTGAGTTTTTTTGTTGATAATAATGGTTGGAGCCATATCTTGAATTTTCAAACAAATTCTTGGCTCAAAATTTCTAAAATTATGTATTAAAAGGTAAAAAGCTATATATCAAAATCTTATGATATTTGAGTATTTAGTTTGTAAGATATGAAGAATATTGCACATAAGTGTATGTAAGCAAGGGTTTGAAGCTACTGTTAGGATTTTGGAGATATCTCAAGATTTGTAATGAATTTGTAGTTGAAATTTGTTATTGTAATCGTTTATAGTACATTAATAGTTCATGTAAAAGTTTAGTTTGTTTGGACAGTTTGATTGTAAAATATGAATTAATGAAGTTTGGAAAATTTTCATCATAAGGATATATAAGGTTTTAGAATATTTTTATTATATTTTAGGTGAACTTTGGTACTTAGGACTTATGTATTGATATAATTGCCTATATAGGGATAATTTTATATATAAAATTGATATTTTTTTAATCTTAAAATTTAATTGAATAATTGGTGATAGTCAAAAGCTCAATGCTTTCTTAAGGCAAATTCTCTCTGCCTTGACAATGTATAATCTTGCAACTCTTAGTTTTTGTTAAATAAAATAAATATAAACTTAATGTCGTTTTATGTTCTTAGAGCAGATTAAGATATTGTCTAAATAATAGACAACAAAATTATTAAGAAATTTACAAAAGACATCATTCATTAAATATTAAAAAGATATTTTTCTATTTATGAGTCTAAAAGGTATGGCATTACATTTGAAATATCCATACCTGATTTAAAATACAATTTTTCATTCATTTCTTTGTTTAATGCATACCAAATTGTATGCTCCTCACAGATCTATTTTTGTATAAAATTTTGTTTAATTGAGTTGATAAAAAAGTTTTAAAATCAAAGATAGAAGATTCTTATTTTTATAAGAATCTTATTGAGTTCTCGATAGTCTACAAACATCCATAGAGATTCATCTTTTTTCTTCATAAATAAGATAGAAATCCTTGTTGGAGATTTTGAATGGCATATGAAGTTCTTAGCCAAATTCTCATCATTGTATTCTACGAGTGTAGCCAACTTCTTTTGTGATAGGCTATAGATTGGTCCAAATGATAAATTATAAAATAACAATCCTAAAATAATTGGATTAGAAGAAGATTTAATCACATTAAATAATACTAAATTATTATAACTACTAGTTGCTACATCTAAAGGAACAATTTTATGTGTAATACCTTCAAAAGACAACAAATGACCATCTAGTACTTCTACATGTATAAATTTTGTTTTCTTAACTAAAGATATTTATTATTTATTTATAAAATCTTTGTTTATAAAATAAGCTAAGGCTTCTAAATCTAATAAGATTAAGACTTTGTGATTTTTTGGTCCTAAATAAATTTTTATTGTAAAACAAGGTGAAGGGTTTGAAACGAGAATAGGATCTTTATTAAGTGTTACATAAGATTCCAACCATGCAATTCCTATTGTAGTTGGAAAAACTCATTTTTCAACACATCGTCTTCTTAAGCAACCATGTTCCTCATTTTGTGATTGCGTTATTTCTTTAGACAATATTGAGTAGTGTGCTTGGATTCTCCACAATATAGGTACAAATCTTCTTAACAATGACAAGTCTTTTTTTGTTCAATAAGAGGTTTAAAACGTATTGTGTTAATTTTTATAGGCTTTGGCCAAGATAAGTAAGCTTCCACAATCTTAGAAAGTGTTGCCATGGCATAACTTGCACTTTTCCAACCAAATCTTTATTCTTGGCATCTTTTAAAGAATCAATTATTGCATGGAATGGCTTAAGCAATAAATTGATCAAATAAATTTGCTCTCAATATTGTCAACAATAAATCTTTCATATTATCTTTCAATCCTTATCAAAATTGATTGTTAAGGGTTTTTTCATTCCAATCCATATTGCAAGTAAGATTTTAAAATTCAGTAGCATATGTAGTGGCTAAACGTGATCATTGTTGTAGAAATATGAGCTTCATCTCTACTATCCTTTTTCAATCACTTTTTTTAATTATAGTTATAAATACTTCTAAGAATGAATTCAAATCATAGTTTAGTTATGAATCTTTTTCCATAAAAGGTACCAACCAAGAGAAAACACTTCTATAGTGAAGTATTCCTATGAATATGACTTGAGTAATTCCATCAAAATATTGAAAAAGATGCAATCTTAGATGAAGCTTTATTTATTGTAAAAATCCTCAAAATATTGATCTTGTTCTATCAAACTTCTTTGGTATACTTATCCTTACATTCTTTGTACTTACAATAGCAAAACTTCTTATTTTTAATTGAAAACTTGTTCTACTTCTCTTGATTGCAAAATTTCTTAATATAGATATTATACTACAATCTTGGCTTCTTATATGGATATAGGAATAGTATCTTAAACTAAAATCTATATTAAGATAGATCTACAAAGAGAATACAATTTGGTGCATATAATAGATATAAAAGAATAGAAGATTATATTTTGAACTATTTATGGTTATTTTGAATATAATCACATGTCTTTTAGACTTACATATGGTCCAATTTCTTTCCAACATTTAATAAATGGTGTATTTTGTAAGTTTTTAGATAATTTTATTGTACAGTGTTTGAATAACATTCTTATCTATTTGAAGAATATAGAAGATTAATGAATATATTTGTCTTATTGTACAAAAATTTAGATATGCAATATTATATGTAAAGATAGAAATATGTGTATTTCATACAACTCAAGTGGAATCTTTTGGATGTATCATCTCAAATGATGATTTAAAAATGGGTTCTAAGAACATGATACAATGAACAATGATACAAACTATCATAAATTAGACAATTCCAAGAACATTACATTACATTCAATTGTTTTTAAGGATTTATAAATCATTATCAAATATTTGAAAGACCTTCTTTCAAGTTATTTCTCCACTCATACAATCAACTTGCAAAATAAAAATAAGGATTGATAAACAGATGACATAACCAAATCATTTCATTGGCCAAAATTATAGTTTTGATATATGAAGCAGAGTGTAAATTATGGTGTTTACAAAATATTATTAACATGTCAGGAACAATTTGCACAAAATATATCCAAACATTTACAGTAAAATTCCAAAAAAAATTAAATTAAATTAAATTAAAAACTTTCAAGATGAACTAATCAACAGAAATTGAGAATAGCACTGCATCTGTGAGTATCATGAATGAAGGCACGGAATGCAATCCACGAAGAATGTCCAGGACGCCGATCTTCACAGCGATCGATCAATCTCGCCACTCGAAAACTCCATGAAACGAATCTCACGAAGAGCACGATCGCAGGCGTGGGTAGAGAATTTGCGATCGCAACACCTCACGATCGGAGACGGATGGCTGCACCGACAAGAGCACCGAACTGACTCCATTCTGCACATCGGAGAAGAACCAAACCCAGTTCTTCGATGGAAGAATGGAAGAATTCGGCCGTGGTATATTGCTATGGCGGCAACGCAAGGCTGCTAAAAGCAAAGCAGCGTGATGGTGGGAGCCAAATGATGAACATCCCTCTGCCATGCTGTCGCTCGGGACATGAGACTGTAGCGTCGTCGCGGGAATGAACATGGCGTGGTGAGTGATGCGCACGAGGAGTCTGCGAGTGTTGACAGTGGACTGAAGTTGCCGTGGTTGCGTTGCATCGGGATCTTGCGAAGACAAGGCATGTTTGGAGTGTGTTTGGTACAAGGTTTGCGTAGCTGTGCTCGGTGGGTCGTCTTCCGGTTCAATTACTCGCTGGTGTGGCTGACGGTGTGAAGCCTTTCATCCTGCTAGTGCACGCTTTGTAGAATTTGAATTGGTAGTTTTTGGGTTCTGTAGATTTGTTTTCCTCGTGAATTTGCGTGGTATTGTGTTTTTTTTCTGTGTTTTTTTTCTTCTCTTTGTGTTGAAATCTGTTGCTAGCCTGTTGGATATTAAACCAACAATTTGTTCGCAACTTTGTTGCTAGCCTGTTGGATATTAAACCAACAATTTGTTCGCAACTTTGTCTCGTAGATATGGCAAATCAGTCCCCGGAGATAGAAGCCTTGATTCCGAAGAGGGCGTCCGATGGGGGCGGGGACCTTGAGGAGCTTGGAAGCTCGAATCCGGAACTTGGTCTTCGTCGGAGCTTGAGTTTGGTTGATGGAATCAGGTGGTTGTCGAGATTGCGTGACGTACTTCTGCACATTTTCAAATTTTCATTCCTAGATTTTGTGAAGAATTGGGATAGAATGTGAGGAGTGTATGGGTTTCTGATGTAAGGGGGGAGAGAGAGGACTGAGAAGGGGTGTCGCTGGGCATGTGATGCAGTGTGCTGGTGGGAATCATCATCGGTAGTGGCATCTTTACGTCGCCTGGCGTGGTGCTCCAGGATGCAGGCAGTGTGGGCTTGGGACTTATGGCATGGGTTGCTGCAGCATTCATGGCTCTCTGCTCGGCTCTCGTGTATGCTGAGCTTGGTGCTGCCATCCCCCAAGCTGGAGGCAATGCAGAATATTTTAGGGTTCTCTTTCTGTTGCCCTGATTTCCTCTTCTGCCTGATGCTCAGTGTTCTGATCATCGAACCCAATTTCGTTCTTAGAATTTAAATTCCTCTTGTGCCATAGCTTAGACTCCACCGCTAGGAATGGAGAGGTTTTTCCATCAACTGCAATTATGAATGCACGGGTTGAACAATGTCATGGCTTTGCACGCAGATCGCGTTTGGTGATGCATGGGGGTTTGCGTTTGTCTGGACAATGTTCTTCGTCCTTACGAATGGAAGCTTGGCTATCCTAACAATCACTCTTTCTCGTTACCTCGTTGCCGGCGTGAGTGGCAAAGTTCTAACTCTGTTCTGATGATTGAATTACAGAGATGCCCCTTGCGCCCTTGTTGTACGTAATACTAATTGTGGCGGTACAGTTTGTAGGGCTCCACATTTTTGAGGGCGATATGAGCTCTGACCTTACAGTGAAAGCTGTAGCAATTGGGTGTGTAGTAATCCTCACCGTCTGGAACTGTTTTGGTGAGGCCGTTTACATTATTTTTATTTTCGTCCCTTTCGGGAGCTCTTGGTGGATCCACAGGTTTTGATAGCCAATCGTTTTTAGCCAGAACCACCTTCCTTAGTGATTGCGCTATTTAGTTCTAGCCATCTCTATTGATAAAGTCTTATCTACCCGCTTGTACGACTCGCAGTCTATACGGGGTCTCCTTGGAGTAATTATTTTTGTTTGTGGGGTTCTATACAGGTATACATGTTGGTGCGAAGCTTCAAAATATCATTAGTGTACTTAAGCTCTTACTCATTTCAGTCTTAATAGTCGCGGCAGTGGTCTTTGTATGGGATAATCCCCTCGTTCTGGAGGAGAATTTTCGTAAGCCATTCGAAGGCAGTAATTTCTCGGGTTTTGGCGTCAGCTGTGTTGCTGCTCTGTGGGCATTCACAGGCTGGTATGCCTCAATTTTTTCGCCTTTTTTCGTTATGATTTTAAACCTTGACTGTGGTAAGTCGGGATTAATTTTGCTGTTACTGACTGAGAAATTTTGTTTCTTCATCTGTTCACGTTCTCTTCCTTTTCATGTTTTTTTCGCATGGACATCATCAAGTGCAAGTGGGTAATGCGTAAGTGAGAATCCCAGATAAGGATGGAAGCGTCAACATGGTGAATGCACCGCTTTTGTGCAGTCTAGAGAACCAACGAAATTTCAAAGGTTTCATCAGAATGTGCTTCGAAAGATATCAGCGAGTAGAAACATGGGCATTTCACATGTGAAGATGTTACACTTGATTCAACCTTATGAATCAACTGCTGTGATGTAGGGGTGACCTGGTATTTCTGACGGAAGAGATGAAAGATCCTGAGCGCGACATTCCACGCGGTACAGTGGGCGGCATGACTATTGTGATGATCATTTACGTAGGTGTTACCGCATCACAATTCTCTCTTCATGACAATCGAGCTACACCCTTGTGCAGCGAGCTTCCACTATTCGCTTAGTCAGAGTCTTACAACCTTGGGTACAGTGGTAGTGAAAATAACTAGTGCTATCCACGTCATTGTCTCAATGTGGCAGCTGCTACTGAACGCGATCTACCTCTGCATCCTCCCTGCCGCAGGTAAGGTGACGTTGCATTGCAGCTTGCTTGATTTCCATGTGGATGATAATGCTCTTGCATTCCAAATTTAAAACTCTTTGATTTCGACATACGATTCATGTTGTCCAGGAAACCTCGTGATTAGAAAAAGTTGCTATCGTTGAAAGACTTGTCCTTGACTCACAAATGGATGGATGTGATGACAGTGGTAAAGACATCAGCAGTTGTTGCCATTGATGCCGCCGATGCAGCTCTGGGACCTTGGGCAGGATCCTTTATGTCCATACTTGTTGCCATATCCCTTTTGGGGTCTGCAAACGGCATCATCATTTGTGGTGCTCGTTATTTGGTAATGAATCGTCTTACCTGATTGGATCCTGATCACTATTTTGTTTCAATGGCACACTTCGACGATAAACTGTCGTTGTAGACACTTCACTAGCTCAGGGTGATTGTTTTACAAATCTGTGCGTCATATTTTGGATGCAGAACTGAACTACGAATGAGATAAGAGCTCTAGGAGAAATATGGTTGTATGTCGAGTCCTGATGAGCTATAACCGAGTGTATTTTCTCCTAAAATCAACCTTACAGTGAAATAGGGTGTGCTGTCATTAATATTAGCATTCAACTGTTCTAATATTTCGTTTGCGATCATCTTTATTGCGGTGACCAACATTGAGGTGCATCACAGTAGTACTGGCTGCTGTCAAAGACTGAGACGGGAGCTGACAGCTAGAGCTTATTACATCGTTTTGATGTGCAGTATGCTGCAGCTAGGCATGGCCAAATTTTCAAGAGTATTGGAGCAGTTGGTACTCAGAGCCGTGCTCCATATGTTGCACATCTTCTTCAGGTACATAACTCTTTACTCCACAGAATAGTCTGTTACTAAATTTAGCCAAATTTTAGCTTGCATGGTGAGCAGAATTGCTTGTTCGCTATCTGATTAATGTCTATCATCTGCCCTGTGCAGGGTTTACTGTGCATTCTCTTGTTGCTGCAATCCAGCGATTTTGTTGAGGTATTCATATCAAACTATCTCCCAAACAAGAGATACTTCTGGAAGCTCAGAACAGTATTTATCTTTTACAATAGCTTAGAAACAGTTGCTCATGCTTCTAACCTCACTAGTAGGAATTGGAGCTTGCATTTGACGATTGAGGCAAATCAGTGATCCTCACAATTGTTCTAGTGTTTCATTTGCTTTGACATTGAAAGCAAGCTTACTATAATATTTGAGTAGGGGAATAATTGCTTAATCCTTTTCAATGAATGATGTGCAGTGACTTGCTAAGGGAATTAAGATGATGCAATTAAATATGATGTTTTTGACAGAGAGCCCTATTTGTGTTCTAGTATTAGTAGTAGTATCGAATATAAAGTCCGATGAAACTACCAACGCCACTGTTGAAGTTGGTTAGTGTGCAGACTTTTGAAATGTTAAAATCCAGGGCTAAAGAGTCTATTATTTTACTGTTGTGACACACAATATCTGTTCCTCAACATGTGCAGTTGGTGAGCTTCTTTGGCGTGTCTTCCTACATATTCTATGGTCTCACAGGAGCAGTTCACATAAAGCTACGTCGAGATCTTCCTACGCTACACCGTCCTTACCGTGTGGCCTTCTATCCATACGCACCACTCGTAGTCATATGTTTCTCCTTGTAAGTGATTCCTCTTTATCTCTCTGTTAACATTTACTCCCAGTTTACAGCATGTGCAAGTTGGGCTAGCTAACACGAGGGAACAATCATTTACAGTTGCTGTTGCTATTTTATGTATGTGTCGTGCCATGTTAACTGTTGGTGTGAATACATTAACTTAGATCGTACATATTGTGAACAACAAGTATGTAGAACCCAGTCGCCAACATGTTAGGTAACACAATGAGTATTGGAATTTCATTATTTTTTTATCTTTTCCTTATGAAAAAAGAAACGAGCCAACGGGCTTCATCATTTTGTTTTGGTTTAGACAGGCTCGAAGAATCACTTGATTCCTTGAAGTATTTTTTCTACTTTTTTGTGAGAGAATGATACAAAGCTGTTTATTATAGAAATACTAGTTTCTTTTGGTGGGTTTGATTTTGTGCTTAATTTAAGTTCACAATTGGTTGACGTTTCTCAGGTACTTGGTAATTTCAGCATTGATGGCACAGCCTAAAGCAACAAGTTTGTCTTTAAGTTTTATTATTGTTTCATTCCCTGTCTACTATCTCTCCAAAAAATCGCCCTTATCCAGCTCCTTGACAAACAATTCGTAACACTTGACTTAAATACCACGACAGATAATTGAAGAAGCAAGATATTTTGGTTAGTGCAATTATTTTGGAATTGGTAGTTGGTTAGTGCAATTATTGACGGAATCCTGCCTTTCCAGTTGCTTTAGACTTCGATGTGAACACGGTTCAATTATATAGTTTCAGACTAGGTTAAATGATCCAGACATATTATTGAATCTATTTCGATTCATATCCTTTGATATTCTATTGCTCTTCTGAAGTAGTAACAATTTGATGGATTCCATTGAATCATTTCGTCATGGTTTGCTCTTACGAAATTGGAGACAAAGACACTCCATGACAATTATGTGGCACCTACATTATTAGTTTGATTCCAGGATTATTTGTGCTAATTCTTTCTGCAAGAAGAATTGATGCCGTCGAGTGCAAGAATGATAGTACATTATAATGAGTCAAATTCTTAGACTATGTGTGAGTTAAGATGTAAAGCTAAAGAACCTCAAATGAATGTATTTAATTAATTATGCTGAAACTCTTTAAAGGATCTGGTTTTGTCAAGTCAATAGATTGTTAATCTGAACTGAAATGATTATTGTAAAACTATTAACACACAAATTTTCTTGCACTCAAGTAAAGACCAAAAGTGTGTTGCAAATAATTTCTTGAACTTATTAAATTCTTTGCAAAATTGCATGTATACTCAGTTTGTAGTATTGTTGTGTTTTTGCTTTTTTTAAAACTATTTTAAATATGTTTATGTGCTGTTTGTATTCCTATATTTATTGTATATGATATATACATTCATACTTATATATAAATACTTGGGTGTATGCATGAAGAATATAAAACTATGATTTTAAAGTATATTGAATACTTTTTTTAATCAGATTAAATTCAAAATCCATATGTTTAAATACTTATAAGAAGATAAAACATAAGTAAAAAGTAAAGCTGAGAAACACACAACTTTAATGGACAATATTTTACAACAATTCAGCTTTTATCTTATATGCTTTGATAGTTAAGTGGGTTTCTTTTTGTAAAATAAGTTAAAGAAATAAAAATTCGATAATAAATTATTCAGATACATTCAGGTTTGTTACTTGCAAATTTTCAAACAGTGAAAAGTGCCATATGCATGTGTTTTTTTAAAACATTAATCAACAAAGGCAAACCAAAACAAAATCAAAATTTCATTGATAGGTTGATTGGTTCAAGTTTTCAATAAGAAATATTAAAAATTAAAATCAAAATTAGAAGACACTTTTATCTAAAAAAAATAATAACAGTTTGCAACATAAGAAAATTCATTCCATCCTAGCTCAAATAGATTATCAGTTTAAAAATACCCAACACAATCTAGGTATGTTGGATGCTAGTGGAAATAAGTGTTGGCGTGAAGATTAAATCAGTTTAACAAAGTAGATTTTTTTTTAAGATAATCACAAATAATGAGTTTACGAATAAAAATTGGATGAGAAAAATCTACAAACACTTTTTGAACTTTTTTCTGAAAAGAAATAATCTCAAGGCTAAGCTAAGAATAAATCAAATGGATGCTAATAATTACATGGTTAATTGTTCAATATGATTTTAAATATTTTTTGATGGAATGATTGATGTATTGAATCCAAATTCAACCATCTAAATATGAATATAAATAGTTGTTGGTTAATTACACAAAACGTGAAAAAATGTGTTAAGATGCATGTGTAAATATGAAAGTTACGGATCAAGTAGAAATGATTATAATTGCAATAAAAATAATCCTACAAATGTTGGCAAATGATAGTATTTGAAACAATTATTTCATTTTCTAACATCTGAAACTTTTATATACATGTCATGCTATCACATAAATCAACTATCTAGCCTTTCTGTTTATGTCACTCTTAAGTATATATATATATATATATATATATATGTGTGTGTGTGTGTGTGTGCATGCTATGTTAAATTCTTTCATTTTTTTAATTAAATTCATATGTTATTTAATAAAGAAAATGAGAATTCAATCAAAGTCCCAATAACTAAAAAAATATACAGATTTGACAAAAAGTCTTATGTACATTTTTCAAAAACGCATAAATGCAATTGCCACATTATTTTTGTAAATACCAAATCACACAGTATTAGAATTTGTAGACAATTTCAAAAAATGGCTATTGTGAATGAGATACATACATAAATATACACTCATGATTTGATCCATGAATACTGATATATTTGGTGCACTTCATAAAGCACCTAATTAGAAAAATCTACTAAGGCCTTTCTTTGAAATTGGTTTGAGCTAGTTTGTTGAAATAGTAGGTATTGGCACATGGTGAAGGATGCAAAAATAAGTGTTATTGATATTAGTATTAAATGAATCTGTTGCTCTATGTCAATGTTTCTTTTTTAAAAGCTAAAACCAGTTTAATATCCACACCTCACAAACCAATATTAATATGTAGGTACAACAAAATAATTCGCACTTGACCAATGTCTCCGCTAATATTCTCACTAATTTGGCTCTCTCCGTGAGATTAGCAATAACTCATGAACTAAATGTAGCCCAATTCGTGTGATATAATTTGCACCCTTTGTGTGACCTTTCAAACTTGATTGATGATCATACTAAAACAATACCCACTTTATTGAGATAGTTGCAAAAGTCCCAATCTTTGTTGATTGTGTGCCTAAGTTTCACATTTAGATTTTCTATTTATTTAATGTGTCGCCAATAAATGATAAGTTGGTTTCTTTGGTCATCGTTTAATAAAGGGTGTCTAAAACTTGGAAATATTGTTCAAGTTTAGGGTGGCATTCGTTTATTAAAATATATATATATATATATATATATATATATATATTTAAAAATATCGAAGTCAATTTTTTTTTCAATTCTTTGTCACCGAAGTTGGAGAAGAATTCAGATATAGATGTGGATGAAGTACTGTAAAATCAAACTATAATGCATCTTTAATAGTGACTTTAGGCGACATGCAAAAAAACAAAATGCTGTAAATCATAAAAAATAATGAATTAATTTTTTTGAAGTTTCATTAAATAAACATTCATCAGAGAACATCACTTCAAAACTCATTCACGACTATATTTGCAACCATCTTCTACTTTATTTTAAATATCAATTTTACAAAATTAAAAACTCTGTTATCATGAACTCCATAAAATGAAAGGTTTAATTAGTAAGAAATGTTTTGTATTTTCAAGAAGATCAACACCTCACACCTTTCAAAAACAAACCTGATACCTTCTATAAGATGACAAACTACATTTGAAATCATATACCAATTCTTTTCTTTCCTTTTCACATAAAACTCACAGTTCATATCAATATATATATATATATATAGAGAGAGAGAGAGAGAGAGAGAGTTGTTGACATGATGTTGAAACCACATGCCCACAAAGTGAAGAGGAAACCATCAATGTTTTGTTAGAATTAATACCATAACATAGTGAACTCCAATTGTTGGCACCAAACCCTAAAATATTTACTCTTGTTGGCAAGGGTGTAAGAAAGTAGGTGGGGGCCATTAATTAGGCGATAAGTATGCTAGAGAATGTCTATGAAATATCTTTGGAAGTCTCAGGATGCATTGAAGGAGGGACCCAATGAGTTGTAAAGATACATGTATGAGACTTGCCCTTCCCTTGCAAGTGGGTACTTGTTTTTTGCTTTTTAAAATCACAAATATAATATTTAAATGCGTAAATGGAACGCTTTTGGCTTAAAAAGGGGACATGGTTTGTACACAATCTAGGCAAGATTGGAAGAATGAGATTTAGTTTTTATTTCTTTTTCTGGCTAAAGGTGTGTGAGATAAACTAATTTCTATATAAAGATCGCCCTGACCAGAATACTTTATAGCACAGGAATTTGTGAAAAAAAAGAAAAAAAGAAAAAACCATTATGTTAAAAAGCTCCATTTTGGGTTTGTGTCCTCTCATGTAAGAGAATAGATGCACCAATCAACCAAACCTTTACTGCTTTACTACTATTAATAAACATTTTTGATTATTATTATTTATCTTATTAAATCGGAGAGACTATTTTCATGTAATTTCTTTTTCATTAAACGATGGTCACGGTAGCTATTCATAGAGTGCGTTATTTTAGGGCAAGAACAAACTGTTCGATTCACACCAGATTTACATTAAAAGTTGGAATCGTCGCTTTGATCGTAATTATTCATTTGCTTTGTAATGTAATTTTAAATTGTCACCAATTGAGCTCAACTCCATAAGTTAAGAATCCCAGAATGAACATACTTAAATTACGGAGCATGGGATATGAACCTGACCTTGGAAGGTGGAGTTCAACAATCCAATAGTTGAATCTCCTTTCTCACACAAATCGGTGAATCGATGAGACGGATGAATTAAACTTTGCCAAAAGCAGCAGAAGTACAGGAGACCGTTAACTCTGGCACCATAAATTTGTTCATATATATATATATATATATATAAATAGGTATTCACCCATTCACTTGTGCAACCTTTTTCTACAGCATACACTGAGGACCAGACTATCAGCCACTTTCTCGCTCTTCTTTTCAGCCTGGTTGGTTGACTGAGCTGCAGGATCAATGGAGGATTAAGTGGAATAAAACAAGATCACTTTTTTTCCATAATATAATGAGAGCGTTCTGTAGACTCTCTCTGCCTGTGTCTCTGTCTCTCTTGGAGTTTGGCCTTCAAACCTACAAACTGAAAAAAGCTACTCATAACTGTTATGTTGTGTGATATAATGTTATGTCACCCTTTAGCCATTTGTAGGGATAAGAATTAGGAACAGACATAATCCTGCTTCCGCCTACCAGACGGCATTAGCCTGCTGCTTAGTCGGAAGACGAGTCTAAACCTCCTGTAATGCGTTATTATAATATGATGAATCGAAACCTGTTACGGAAGGTATTTGGGTTTTGGTTCTATGTCTCTCAGCGGTTGCGGCTAATGACTCAGGCGGCGCTCAGTCGATCGCGTTTAATCCAACCGCCTTGATTACTCTCCACGACCGCCTCGTGTGGGTTCTCGGTTACCTTCATGCTCGGACGAAGTCTCGGATGAGCGTTTCTGTCGACTTTTGACAGGATTAGCGTTCGACAGATTCTTAGCCCTACACCATTCCCTAGCCTTCGGTCCCACAGAAACAGAACAAGAACACGAAAAGGAGAAACAACAACTAAAAAACAAACGAACGAACCACCAAACAAACAAGACAAGACAGTTCTCGTGGTGCCTTGGAAACTAATCACAAAACCGAGAATCATATACATTAATATAATGTGTTTATTCATGTACATTCATTGCTACGGAGAGTGAGATGCAATGCTTGTGTGTGTATAGGGGAGGCGGCAACCTGGTCCACAGGGCTCCAGGATGG